ATCCTTATAGCAAATTGGCTTTTGTATGCATCTCTTGCCAAATAAATCAAGCCTACTGAGAAATCCATTGGCCTTTGACAGACAAATTTTTCAAAGTTTCTAACTTAGAACCAAATTCAATTAAAACAATACTTTACAATTTCTGTGGAAACCAGGCTACAAGTAATCAATTTTGGAGAGCTTCTGTTAGGAGTAGCCCTCATGAGATTTATTTAAAAACTGGGCTCTCAGCAGCCTTCAGAAGGGTGCTAGGAGTTAGTTATAATGAATTTTAATTGAATTCTCTCTTGATGAGGGATTTTGATTGACAATACCATAAAGCCATATCACGTGTGTGTGTGTGTGTGCGTGTGTGTGTGTGTGTGTGTGTGTGTGTTTTCTATTTTTTAAGGAATAGGAATAGCTATCAATGGAGACTGCTTCATGTGATGCCTAAATAAATCCAAACTCTAGATCAGTCAACCTGGGCTCAAATCTGAGATCTGCCATTTATGGACATGATCACCTTTGAAATGGGAATAATAAAAGAACCTTCCTAATATTGGCATTAAGCAAAGCGAATGAGTACGTGAAATGCACGTGCCCCGTGTTCAGCAGAGTAAGCTTACACTGTCAACTGCTGCTCCCCTGAGGTTATTCTCCTCAGAGGGCCACTTGAGTGATCAGAACAAAATTTCTAGGACATTGTCCCTTTTTATGATGACTGAGGCCTGTAAGGATAAGCAGAGATTCTGTAGTCCTTGTTTTGATGTGAGTTTAACCATTGGCATACAGACTGGCTCCCTCAGATACTTAAAAATAAACTCTCTCATTTTTTTATTTCAATATTTCATTTCACTTTCCACCCTCAAATGTAGATTCAAGAAACGCAGGCTTATTGTGCAGCTACCCTGTGAGCAGATGCCCCAAAGCCGTCATTCCTTCGAGTTAATAATTAACATAACCTGACAAGGTGTGGTGGCACAGGTCTGTAGTCCCAGCTAATCGGGAGTCTACAGCAGGAGAATTTTAGCCCAGGCATTCAAGGCCAGTGTGGGTGATATAATGAGACCCCATCTCTTGAAAAAAAAGAATCCCCATAACCTAATATCAGGCACGTAAGTCTCTATAGCTTACAAAAAATAAAGAAAAGCTCATTGCGTGCATCCATCAACATGGCATGTTGTAGAGCACAATATTTGGAGAATAACGAAGCAAAATACACTTAATAAAATTGCAAGCCTATGGTGAGGTTCTCAGACAAGTTATTTGTGGTCTTGATTAACCTTGCAACAACATTATTGCCATTTTCATAGGTTTTACATAACAACATAAAAATATTGTCTTTACCTTTTAACATGCCAGCATTATCTTATCTCCTGTTCTTTTATTTAGGCTTCATTTTTCTCCCTCACCCCAAAAATCTCCAGCAGCTTGATCCTGGAAGAGCAAAGCTTCTTGTAGTCCGTGGTAGTTAATTTTATATGAATACTGTTTTCCTGGCACATAGCAACAGTGCCACCAAAAGGACAAGGCCCTGAGTTTCTAGGATCTTTTCCATTTCTTTACTCGACAGCATATCAGCATTTTTGCATGATATTCCTGGTTGCTGTGTATTCAAAATATAATATATTGGCATTTCAGGCTCCTTATAGTTAATAGGTTTTAATTTGTTGTGATCTACAGATTCATTAACTTCTCAGCTGTCTTTGGGTAGGATGAGTTTTCTTTTAATCCTCCCGAACTAAAAAGGTAAGTCGTTGATTGTGTTAAGCTGCAGATAAATCATATGAGCAGTTGTTCTTATACAACCGTAGAAATGATATAGGAAAACTGATATTAGAGTCAGTGTAATATCTGTACTGTCAGGAGGAAATATTGAAATGCGCACGTTGTTCTGTGTTTAGTGACTATGAAAGTCACCCCAGGGTATAAACTTTTCTTATTCTCAGAGTACTGTCTGTTATATTTTATGATTGCTCCAAATTTAGTAATGTGGCAAAACTCATTTGTTAAATTTTAAATATATAATGACATGTCATGAGAATAAAATCAAATGAATTTAAGTTATGACAAGGATATAATCATATATATTTCAAATAAATGTATTTCTTTGGGGTCACTTTTTTTTCCTGCTACAAACAGAACTGATTTTGTCATATTTGTTATTCAAAAACTTAAATAGTCACCTCTCTAGATGCAGTCTCAAGCTGAAATAAACATTACAGACTAGTGGTTAAGAGAGTAAGCTGTGGACTCAGACTGCCTAAGTTCACGTTCTGGCTCTACTCTTTCCTGACAGGCACAATCCCGGGTTAATACCCAGTGTCCTTTCCTCTTCTGCTAGATAGAGTTGTTCATCCTATTTATTTCATAGAATTGCTCTGAAGAGCAAATGAGATCATATCTACCAAGAATTAGCATAAGTACTCAATAAATATCAGTCACTGCTGTTATGATGATGGTCATAGTTCTCTGTAGATACTGGTTGCCATCCCTTTGCATCTACTTATGATATTCTCTAGGTATGGCTGAATGCCAAAATCAAAACAAATTTTATATAATTTCATTGGTGCTTTCACAGGATGCTACCTACCTAGAAATAGGTTTACTGCTACATATGTATATAAACATATTTTAGGGGAGGAAAAATATCTTTTTCTCACCCATCCTGGATTCATCACCAACGCCTCTGTTTTAACAAAAGACAGATTAGCAAAAAAAAAAACACACAAATTTATTTCATGTAAGTTTTCTGTGATATGGGAGTCTTTATAAGGAAATGAAGAACTGAACAAACAGTTAAACTTGAGTCTTTTTACTGTAGGTTTGATGAAGAGGGGAAAATGGTGGAGAAATATGATTGGACAAAGGAGCTATGAGCTAATGGAAATAAACTGAGGAAAATCAGCAAGGCCTTTTGTGCAGATTCTTCTCTGTGTCCCTGTGTCTTCAGAGATAGGGATGATCCATTCTTAGGGGATAGGGAGGGCATCTCTCAAATGAGCATCTTATGACCTGCTCCAGGGGGTGGTCAGAAAATTCTACCTATGTTTTATGAGCAGCTGCAGGAGAGAACAGGGGAGAGGGAGAGTGATCTTCCTGCCACTGCAAATGCCAGGGGTTAGCATGTCCTGAACTCCATCAATATCCATTTGTAAGTGAGGACGTCTGGCTCCACACAGCTAGTTGTTCACCTTTCTATCTGTTCGTGTCAGCAGTTTTTATTTGAAAAGCTTCTGTTGGTTACTTTTTTGTTTTCTAACACTTAAAAATCACTATGAACAAAGATGGAAATGGATCAGTTTGTATAGTCTAAAGCAAGGAGGGGTTGAGTCACAAACAAAATAGGATTCTGTAACCACTTCTATTTTCCAAGGGATGGAGTAAGTCATTTAGAATAGAGGTTTAGGGATAGGTATAAATAGAATTAATAGAATAAAATTAAGAAATGGAAATTCACCTGAATATCAGGACTGTGGTGCTTAGAGAGTTATGGAAATGCCTCTGAAAATAAGTAAGCAGAGGTCCATTCACTGGAGGCCTGACTACAGCTGAAATACTGGACGAATACCAATGAATTTGTTATTGAGAGTATTTCTATATCAGTGTGAGTTGGTCCAGAGAAACTGTTAGGCCTTTTGCTTGCTAATTTCTTTTTTCCTGTGAAATAATAAAGCCTAAATCATAGAACCAAATTTCACTTGCAAATTGCTGGAAGTCTTATTTCTCTAGTGAGATCAAATATGTCTTATGACATGTTTTTCCTTCCACTGTTCTCCCAGCTGTTGTTTCTTATTACTGAAATAGTGATGCATTGATATTGGTTCAATTACCAAAGTATCTAAGTACATTTAAATTCATGGTGCATAACAGGTAGTCAGGCTAAGTGACTGTGATTATCAGATGAGGTGTTTGATTTAAATTAAAGGAACACTTCCAAGAGATAATTTATAGAGGAAGACAGTTTACCCTGAAGAATTCCCATCCCCTATGTCATTAATATTTTAGGACTTATCATAATAAGGAAGTTGTGGAAACTAAAGAGTATAGGCTCTGTATGTACAGGCACCATGGCGACATTGTTTTCCTCAGACAGGGGCCACATGATGGGTGAGAAAGCCTTAACACCAACCCCACTGGGTATGGAAGTAGCTAAAGCTCTTTGAATGCAATTTAAACATGTATACCAAATTCTAAATTGTAATAAAATAAGAATGTTGAAAATGATTTCTTATTAGAATTGCACTGTTGCTAACCACATAAATACTTAGAGCTGATGTTCAAAAAAGGATGGCATTTTCTCCCATATAGAACAAAGGGAATACATAAAGTTCTGTTGGAAGCAAGTGTTTAAAGCTACATGAGATACAGTTCTTCAGCTATGTTTGGAAATGTAACTGAAAGGTTTCTTGTGGAGGGAAATTTGAGATTTCACATTTTTGTTAGGTATTGGCATCATTTTTTTTTCAGCTTATTGATCAGTGCTTGAGGTTGTATTATATACGCTTGGGGAAAATAACCACCTTGACCTAAAATTTACATGTGTAATTCTCATTAGTGGTAACAGAAAGTATTCTTACAAACTTACTAACATTGAGACTAAATATATTTTCTGTGTGTCTGGGACTCTGTTATTAATGATGCTTGCACTGCAGCATTAGTTCCATGAGATATCTGGTTTTGTTTTGCTCTGTCTGAAAATATCAACCAATGTTAACAGCATAAAAATTCCACAAAGAGGAAAATTTCAGTACATGACCTTTAATTATATCATAGATGCTATGAAGTCCAATGACTGGGTCATTAAAATGATAATAATAATAAATGTGATTTCTCATTTTTATCACACTGCTATTTGCTGGGTCTCCAAAGAGCCTTTGACTGTTCTGTAAAATAAACTTATACCCTTCTTGTGGGTTGTGTCCAAGGAAACAGTTACAGTAATGAGAGTGGATTTGAATGTATATGTAAACAGCTTTGTGCTGATTAAACATTCACAAATGTTTTGTCTCTTACAGCCTGTCAACCAGGGTCGCCACTATCAGAAAGAAATGAACCCACCTTCTCCTTCTAACCCCCGGTAAGAATTATTAATAATCTAAATGGTTTTAAAAAAAACAGACACACTTTGTTGGAAGATTGTGCATTTTTCTTGGTTTCCTGAAATTGTTTTCCAAAACTTCTAGCTTCCAAAGTTATGTTCTTTCAAAGTCTTAGTTCTTCTACTTGTCTTCTTTGGACTTTAGAAGAGTGGTAACAGTCTACCTAGGTTTAAATATCTACCTTTTACTAGTGGAATTTTGGATAAGTCATTTGACTCCAAGTAATTCAGGCATGAGAATTACTTCATAGTATTTTGGGGAGATTCAAATGAAAACTTCTTAGAACAGTTCCTGGCACATAGCAAGTTCTCACCAAGTGTTAATTTATTCATATTACTTTATTTGCATAAATATTTCATTTTAATAGGTTTCTGATGTTTGGCATATTTTAGACATTTTTTTAATATCACCTGGTGCTCTTAAATTTATCAAGATTGCTTATAAAACTTCAAATAACCGGTCTCTTTTTTCATAACTTCAAAGTTTATAATCTCAAAATTACTTTTATTATTTCAAAAATGTCATTGGTATATGAGTCATTTGTTGCGATGAAAAAACCTCGTTATTTTTGGTTCATTAGGAACAAGAGATCTAAATCTGAGTTTCGAAATACATATTGTATGATTCTATAACTTTCTGATAAATAATTATATAAGCTAGTTTATCCATATGAATCAGTATTACCTTATCAGTATTTATCATACACTAGGAAATTATTGAAACGTCCATATATCTTGAGCCTACCTAGAGAGTCTTAGTTACTGTGGTGCACCTCATTATCCAAATGCATCTGACCTGTACTGTGGGTTGTCCTATGGAGGGTGTGTTAACTATTGCATGGTGTCTGAATTAAGACTCTTAGGTTACACAGTACAAAACAGCTTAGCTAGTATTAAAAGACAGAAAGAGGGAGAAAAAGAAAGAAAGGCAGGGTGGGAGCTGTTAAGTAAGGTACAGGGCTGTATTCTAGAACCCAGAGGCCACCATGCCTCAGGAGAGGCCTGAAACTAGGAAGTAGAAAGCAGAGAGGCAGCCAGGCAGTCTCTTCACTCCATGTCTGCTTGCTTCCTCCCATCTGCTCCATTCTTCTCTCTAAGGACCAGCTTTCTCTGCTCCCTAGTCCACATATGGCCATTTGACAGCTCTGAAGTTGACATATTACAGTTCAACATACGTGTCAAGGCTGAAAGACTATGTCTGCACCTCCCTTTCTGAGAGAGGAAATGTGATTAGCTTAGCTTGGGCCAAGTACCCATTCTGGTCCAGTCACCAATAAACAATGAACCAAGCCATGTAAAATAAGCATGGCTTCCAGGAAACCATATAAATGGTTTACAGGACTTTTACTGGGATCCAGAATATTCATGACACAGGTAGAGTAAATGTTCTTTATTAGTAATCTCTTCTAAAGGTTCCTGTTCTGTACACTTGCTCTGATCATTTGTTCATGTTACCTAGTAGGGTGAATTGTCACTTTCATAAATAGATACATTAAAGAGTTTAAAATTGAGATTAGAATTTCAATATATATAAGAAGGTGTTTTAATGTTGTTAAAATTAGTTATCTCTTCATAGGTGAACATGTCACTAAAACATGTCACTAAGAATCTTGTAGCTTATCTAGATTTGCCTAACAAATTATTTTTTTCCATATATGAGTAAGCTTTCAAGGTAACTGGAAATCCAACTTTGGTCCAAATTATAATAAATTAAGAATTTGGTCCAGGCATGGTGGCTCATGCCTATAATCCCAGCACTTTAGGAGACCAAGACAGATAGATCACCTGAAGTCAGGAGTTCAAGACAAGCCTGGCCGCCATGGTAAAACCACGTTTCTAATAAAAATACAAAAATTAGCTAGGTGTGGTGGCATACGCCTGTAGTCCCAGCTACTCAGGAGGCTGAGGCATGAGAATCACTTGAACTTAGGAGGCAGAGGTTACAGTGAGCCAAGATCATACAACTGCACTCCAGCCCAGACGACAGTGAGACTCTGTCTCAAAAAAAAAAAAAAAAAAAAGAACTAATTTGTGGTCTGAACAAATGAGATTGATAGTAAGATATGTTAGACAGTGGAGCCTTTTGTTTCAATAAAAAGAGAAAAGGGACCTAATTCTCATCCTAATTCTGTAATATAGTGTATAATCTCAGACAAGCCTCTGACCTCTCCAGACCTTTTTAATAATATGAATACCCTCATGTGTAAAAGAAAGGACTTGAGTTGGGTGCTCTCTGAGACCAATTCCAACTTTATGATTCCGTGACTTTTACAAGACTCATTACAGCCTTTGCTTCGTAAAGCAGTCTTGCCATTGAAGGATCACACTACTTTTATTTCATTGTCCTGTATAGAAAACATGCTTCATAAATATTGGATAGATAACTGAATAAATGAATGAATATCCAGATGTGGTAATATGCAACTTTAAATATCTCTTTTACAAATTGATTTTCAAAGATACACTGTCAAGATAGAATATGAAATAATTCACCAGGTAGACCGCATATTTTATGCAACCAATTAAATGTTTATTTAAGAGAAATTAATTTACATTTCTGCATAATGAAATAAAAAGGCCAAATTCTAAAGCCAGAAATGAAATGCCACCAAACCCTTTTGCCAGCAAGTTATCTACCAGTTTCCTAAAAAATTATTATATAACCGTTCAGAAAATCTGCAGATTATGTGACTTGGCTCTTGGCACATAAATTCAGCAGCTTAGGAGAATTGGCAGGAAGGCATTATTGGGCCATAAATACAGAAGATGATAAAATTATGGGGTCAGTATATATCATCATATAAAAATGAAATAAATTGAATCATGTAATGCATGTAATTTAACTTAAAACTGAAAGCTCTGATTCTTCTTAAGATCTGTATTTATTATATTTCTTACAATTAGTATCCCCATGCTTTAGACCCTAAAATATAGAACTTTAAATTTAAAGGATATTGATAATTAATATGAAAAATATAAGAAATTAGAAGATAAGTCTCTGAAGCCTACCCTCTTAGATAAATGAGCATCTAACTTGAATCCTTGATTGAAAGTTCTGGTATGGAGGCTGTGAACAATACATGAAAAGCAGGTAGGCCCTTCATTTCCTGAATTAAGTGTGGCTGTGATTAAAGTAATGCTAACATGGCAGAGACAGGGTGGTGTGGACAAGCAGTTCCACAAGAGGAAAGCGTGATGGTGACCTCTGGGAAGTGAGATGGCCAATGAGATATCTACAACTACTCCAGAGACCAAAGATCCTAAGGTTTTTAAATTTAGCATAGACTGTGCCCACATATATACATGTTTAGAGAATCGCCTTTCGACTAGCTTTATTAATATACCAGGACAATCAATATCCCCAGTCTTTCATGCACATATTTTTCTATTTCTTTCTTTTTTTTTTTTTTTTTTTTTGAGATAGTCTCACTATTGTCACCTAGACTGGAGTACGGTGGAGTGATCACTCACGCACATTTTAATCTGGAAAGACTTTTATTTCTGCAACATAATCACCTTCTTAGTTTTTTGTGTGTAAGATTAACATTAAAGACAAAATGCAATCCACAAAGCAGGTAAATTTGGGTTTTAAAGAGTTAGCTCTAGGATGAAAATAGCTAAAATGCTGCATATATTCGTATATTGTTTTTCTTACAGTAAAGGTGGGATGCAATAGTAATCATTTTCCTGAGAAGTTTACAGTCTAAGAATTGAAATATATATGGTTCACCTCATCATCTTCCCTTGCGAGTCTAGATTTGCAGCAAAACCATTCCCCTTATGCTGTTAGGCATGGGATGATATTTTCCATTATTTTTTCTTAACACACTAACTGATATTTAAGCAGCATCTCAGATGCTGGGCACTTGCCTCCAGCATCCACCAAACATTGCCTCTTAGGGTACTGACAGCTTCTACGACAAGGTGCAGAAATGGCTAACATAATCTCACATAATTTAGAGAAGTGTGGGGTAGGAGGAAACAATTTCACAGTTCATTCATGTTGAGAAACGTTTCCTAGCATGTAAACTTGCATGCTGCCAGACAGAGCAAAATGGATGCCGTTTGCAGCCTCAAGTCATTTATTTTAAAATGTCATCTATTGCTTTGTGGGGTTTAGAACTGTCCTTTAGGCACATTTCTTTCAATGCTTATATAGATTCTTCAGAATAACCTAAGATATTCCTGCTCAGGAATGAATTTTATGAAATAAGCTGTGATTACCTTCTGGTTGTCTGTTCATAGGATGGAGTCAATAACTAGTCTTTTATTTCAAATGATGATTATACTTGCTATTTTTACAACTCATTGGAAAATTAGCGGGAGGAAGGAATATAGTCAAAGACTTTACAAGGTTCTAAATGTTCATGGAAATATATAATACACAAAATAATTCAGAATACCAAAACAATAAAGAATAGCATGATCTTCTAAAGCGTTTGCTCGATGATTTATCACTTAATCTGTAGTTTTTTAAAATGTCATTGCAGATTGTGTTAGGGCCTCAATCCTTTGTAGCTTTGCCACATGTTTGTTTGATATAAACATGCTTATAACCATAATTATCTGATAAAGCCCTGCAGTCTTTGACAAATGATTAATAACCACTGACATCAGTTCCCACTGGCTCAGCCAACCTGACCAAGGCAATCTGGCCTGTCATTGTAACCCGCGTGGCTCCTCTGGACTGACCATGGCAGCATTGTTTTTGCTTTAGCTCTCTGGTTGTCACGATGCAAACTGATGAGTGTCTCTTCTATTGATTAAGCTTTTTATTTTCCCATCACAAAAGAGAAAAAGGTATAAATAAATAAAATTAAGTACAGAACTTTAATGTTCCTTTTCAAATCATTCAGTTTGGATCATTTTAAAACACGTAAGTTGAATTTTTAACAAATAGTCCTCCTTCAAATCAAGACACCACGGAGGATTTCCTTATTAAATAAGCAAACATTTTTTTTTCTCAAAACATAATGTTA